CAGTTCAGGATGTGAGAAGTCTAAAATTAAGATGTTGACACGGCTGGTTCCTTCTGGAAGCTTCAGGGGAGAATCTGTTTCCTTGCCTTTTCTGGCTTCTAGAGGCTGCCCACATTCCTTGGCCTGTGGCCCCTTCCTTGCATCACTCCAACCTCTTGCTTCCATCATCACATCTCCTCCCTCCTCCCTCCTTTTTTAGATGCTTTTTTTAAAAAAAAAAAAAAAAGATTGGCTACTGAACTAACAACTGTTGCCAATCTTTTTTTCCCCTCTTCTTCCTCTCCCCAAAGTCCCCCAGTATATAGTTGTATATTCTAGTTGTGAGTGCCTCTGGTTGTGCCATGTGGTACGCCACCTCAGCATGGCCTGATGAGTGGTGCCATGTCCGCACCCAGGATCCGAACTGGCAAAACCCCAGGCTGAAGAAGCAGAGCTCACAAACTTAACCACTCGGCCACAGGGCAGGTGCCCTGCCTCCCTCTTATAAGGACTCTAGTCTTTGCACTGGGACCAGCTGAGTAGTTCAGGAAAATCCCTTCATCTGGAAATGCTAAACTTAATCAAACCTGCAAAGTCCCTTTACCAAGTGACATCACATACACACAGGTTCAGGGTATTGGGACATGGGCATCTTTGGGGGGCTATTATTCAGCCTACAACATACCCTATATAAAATAACCATCCCAACCTACCCCCCATTCTATAGTCCCCATCCCTGTTTTATTTTTCCTCCTTGCACTTTTTCCCCATCAGACATTGCATCTATGTACTGGTTTATAACTTTTTGTGTCCCCCCCCCCGCCACCAACCCCTGCATGCCCTAGAAGGTAAACTCTGTGAGGCAGGGCAAAGCATCCCCCTGTGTCACTATATTGTGTGGCATATTGAATGTTCTCAGTAAATATTTGTTAAAGGAATGAATTTAGTCTCTAATTTTAATGAGGGTAGTCTGGTGAAAAATAATAAACAGTAAGAAAAGAGCTATAAAAATGTGTTTATAAGATACAGTGGAAAACTGTCAGTCTATCTGGAGAGAAAGCGCCCAGGAGGGCTGCATGGAGGAGGAAACTGAGAGGGGCCAGCCACAGGGCAGGGCCCACCAGAAGGCACTGGGGCAAGGCACAGAGCTCAGCTGGATGGGATGGGTCTTGGGATGTAAAACGAGCACAAGGATCCTACAGATACTGTTTAGCTAGGCAAGGGGGTCCATGCAGACGGACTCAGATCAGAAAAGCCAGGAAGAAATGGTCAGGAGCATATGCTAACTAACCACACCAGAGTCTGGATCAGAAGGGCGATATATCCCAAGATGCTTTTCCAGGGGTGGGGGCTGGGGGAGGTCCGATAAAGCAGGAGGAAGCAGGCGCTAGCAGGTTCTCCTTGGGGGTGGGGTGGTGACAGCCTTGCTCAGATTGGCCCACAGCGGTGGTGGGAATGGGTTCTGATGGCTGAACCACAAGTGGGTTCAGAAGGCTGTCCACCTTCTCCTGGCTTGGGGGGAGAACGGAAGGGGGGCCTGACTCACCTGACAGCTCCCCAGGTGGTCGTAGAAACTGGTTCACAGCAGGTTGCAGCAACAGTTCTTTTATTGAAAGGTTCTGCTAAGAACAGTGTTAAAATGGTTAAAGGCACAACTGGCTTCATTCAGAGCCCAGCTCGCCTGCAGCTTGGCTGTGACCTTGAGTGAGTTCTCCGATGTCTCTAAACCTCGGCCTCCTCCTCTGCAGAATGGGGATGGTAATAGTGCCTATTTCTTATGTTTACTGTGAGGGCTCGGTGAAGTGAGGTCTCAAGTCTCCTTGGCACGGTTACATAACAAACGTAGTCTAATTATCCCCAAACTGGAAGCATCAGCGGGCGGGGTGGGGGGTGGACCACCTCATCCCCTCTTCCATCACACAGCACCTGACATCTCACCCTCAGGTCTCCCTGTGGGTCCTCTATGGATGGACTCTGATAGTCCTTCTTTAAATGCCTATTTAACCCCCACAATTCCCCCCGCCAACTCCAGAGTTCTCTAGCCAAATCCCCTCCTGCATGGAGCCTTCCCCCACCACCCCATGGCGTGGATTTCCAGCTCTTGTCCTTCTTGTGCCCTGCGAACTCTGCCCTGCAGGCTTCAGTTGCAAGTCTGCATGGTTCTCCTCTGCCCAGTTTCTGTCAGCCCTGTTGTGGGGAGCTCTGGTGCATCCTTGGCCCTGGGAGAGAGGAAAAAGAAGACCACCATGTTCTAGAAGGCAGAGAGAGGTTGGCTTGGAGAAGCCTGAGGATGCTTCACTTCTGGTTCTGTCGCTCTCTAGCAGCAAGGGCTAAGGCCAGCTTTATTCTAAATTAGCTAAATGTACGTATCACTCACCACACGTCAAGTATGGAGGGAATACTGATACTTACAGTGTAGGATTGTAAACATGAAAATGCACTGTAAACTCCAAAGTAACAGAAAAATGCCTACTTTTACTGTTTAACTTGAGATTTCTCTATCCATAGAAGCTTTACCTTAGTCATGAGGTTAGGGCCTTACTTCCCCTTACGTGTAATTTATAAAAATATCAAGACTGAGACCAATTTCTGGACAACTCCACTGATTAACTTTGCTCTGACCAGCTGTAAACTATTTTTCCAAGAGTGTTCTCCCAAATCGCAAGCTCATCCCAAGGATGCAGCGTTTTCTGGCAGCTGGTTCTCAGGCTTTGGTGCAGGTGCAAGTCACTGCCTTGCAGAAATGCTGTGCTGAGGTTTGCTATGGGGTCCTCGGTGGGAGCCAGGAGGTCAAAGGCCCCAGGAGAAACTGTAGACTTCTTCCCAGCGAGGCTCTGAGAACCTGCAGGTAAGCTGCCCTTCACCCTAGTCCCTCTCGGAAGGCCACCAGAGACAAAGAAGTCTGAATACAGCTGCCTAAGGAAGATGATTCCTTTGGGCCGATCTGACAATAGACTGGGTCCCTTCTACTAACATATGTAAGGTGTTGTAAAGGGGGTCTGTAAAAGTAAGAGTGTCTTATTTCAGTGCGTGCTAAAGATTTCATGTGGGATTATTAATATGGGAGCAACTGTCTGCTGCTTTGTTTCCCTTGAGCCACAATAGATGTATTTATAAGTCACCATGGAGGCTGGGGGAAGACAGGGTCACTCTACAGAGAGAGCGGGAGCAGGGGGCGCTGCCTAGAGGAAGAGATGCTAAAACTCCTCTGCCCTGGGCTCCTGGGTCCCACTATGAAGGGTCATGTCTACCCTAGTCCCCAGACCAATCGAGGCATGAAGAAGGACTTCTGAGTGCCTCTCTCAGTCCCAGGAGCATCTTGCACCACTGAGTTTCCATGTGACTCCCTGAGTCTCCTTACCTGCCTGGTCCTAGGACCATTGTCCCTAGGGAAGGCTTCTAGAAGGCTCCATGGCCCCTCTGTCACAGCTCTCAACTACTCCCTCTCTTTCTTGGCCCATGTCGGCCAATTCCACAGGACGGGGCTCTGCCTTGGTCCCACCCTTCAGTTCTACTTGGTTGCCCTGCCCCCACCCTGGGTCTCCTCTAGGACTGGAGGTCTACTTTAAGCCCCAGTGCAGTGTTACGGACTCTGCTGCTTGCCTGGTTTCAGTCCCAACATCTCCTAGGGGATGGCTTTCTGTCCTGGGTTCCCTGTCATCATGCCGTGCTCACCTGTTGAGTCTCTGCATCTCTTTGGGCTCCAGGGTGCCAACCACTTGCTAGATGGTGCCTGAGACTCTCAGAGCCTGAGGGCTCCCCACCATCATCTCCCAAATCAGACTTTGCCACGAAATCAGTTGAACCAGTGTTTGCCCCAGCCTAGTAGACAAGTCTTATGCCATTGTATTAGTCAGTGTTCTTCAGAGAAACAGAAGCAATAGGATATACATATATATATGTACTTCAGATAGATGGGTAGATAGACACATGTTTATTTTAATAAATTGGCTCATGCCATTGTGGGGGCTGGCAAGTCCAAAATCTTAGAGCAGGCTAGCAGGCTGGAATCTCATAGACGAACGTTGCAGTCTTGAGTCTGAAATCTGCAAGCTGGAAACGCAGGCGGGATTTCTACGTTGCAGTCTTGAGGCAAATTCCTCCTTCTTCAGGAAGCCTCAGTCTTTGCTCTTAAGGCCTTCAAAGGATTGGATGAGTTTCACCCACATTTTGGAGGGGAATCTGCTTGACTCAAAGTCTACTGATTTAAATGTTAATCACATCTAAAAATTACCTTTACAGCAACATCTAGTTTGGTGTTTGACCACACAACTGGGTGTGATGGCCTAGCCAACCTGACACATAAAATTAGCCATCACGGCCACTTTCTAAGTTCCCTTCTCCTCCTCCCCTGGCCTCCCCACCATGATGCTTCTGGCAGCTATGATGCTTTCAAGTGCAAAGTCACAAAAAAATCCTATTCAAACAGGCTTAAACTATAAAGGGAACTTATTGGCTCTTGGAACTGAGAGATCCACAGGCAGGCTGGCCTCAGGTCTGACTCACTTCAGGTTAGAGCCTCATCTATCCCTGGTTCTCTTGGCTCTACCTTCCCTGTGTTGGTGTTATCTTCAGGCATGCTTCTCTAGTGACTCTAAGATGGCTGACACACTTCCTCATTCGCATCCAAGAGGAAAGAGAGCAGAGCATCCCTTCTGGAACAGGGGAAAAGGCACACCAAGCTTCTCTCTGATTGGTCGATCCTGACATCATCATGTGGCCAAGGGACAAGCCTGCTCCGACTGGGTTAGGTCTACCCATACCCTAACCAACCCCAGGGCAAAAGGATGGCATTGCCCTGACTGGCATCTAGGTAGGGGTTTTCCCTGGAGTCAGGGGTAGGATCGATCCCAGCAAAATGAGTGACTGCTACACAGTTGCTGAGGGGTGGACTGGATGCTGGGAGATAACCTCAGAGCAGTCCCAGCCTGGGGGGGTCACAGGCAACAGTACTAATCTCAAGAGAGAACAGCTATCCGGAAGGAGGAGTCCTCCCCACTTGGATGTCAGGGCAGAGTCAGGCCAGCAGGAGGGGCGAGGTGGTGACTGGCAGCCTGCGAGATGTGTGCTGGCTTCAGACTTCCTTGTTCCTGATCTGTTTGCCCCTCTGCCATGGAGGGCGTGATCACCAGGACTGAACTCATAGCAGCCAGCTTTGCAACTGTTAAGGCACGGGAAGGCTGTGGGATGCCACTGGGAGCCACTCGAAGCTGAGGAGAGTGACTCACACTGTTCTGATTGGGATGGCTTGGCAGGGATGAGGAACGCAGGAGGAAGGTGGCTTGAAGACGTCTTGGGACAACCCAGGTGAGGGGGTTGTCTCTGAGATTCTGATCTGTAATTTGTTTTTATTAAAAAAAGAAAAAAACTGAAGTGGCAGGACTTCTATCTTAACACGCTATAAAATGCCTCCCTCAGCCCTCCCTCTGTCTGTGCCACCTCCCTCTCCACCGTGCTGCCATTGCAGTTACTGGCACAGGCATGTCACACAGAATGCCAGGGAGGGAGAACACACCCTCGCTGAAAAGTACACTGAATCTTCTTGCACATTTTCTCTGCATACAGGGTGGGGGGATCACGTGCTGGTCAGCCCAGCTTGGCCGCGTATGCTTGGCATTCCCATCAGTCACTGGGCCAGGATCTCCCACTGTTTGAGCAGACACATGTCAACGTTGTGCTGAAGGAACCAGCATACCATGCTGGACCTGAGACTATAGGAGAAAAAAGCAGCTTTTCTATCGTCTGATTATCATTCTGGCCTGGGAAGAGAGGCATTTGGGGCAAAAAACGTTGCTGGCATTAAATAAGGGTGCTACTACACAAACAGGCATGTCATTCTAAGTTATGCAGACGAGAAATGACTCTACAGAATACTAACACAGTACTTTGATTTGCAAAGCCTTTTGCTTCGCTCAAGTCATTTAATCCTCATAATGGCCTACAAAACAAAAGTGTTAGAAACCTTTTTACAGAACAGAAAACTGAGGCAAAGAAAAGTCAAGAGACTTGCTTAAAGTTACACGCTTCCTAAGTGAAGCCTCTATTTAAATCCAGACTTCTGACTCTAAATCCTGTCTTCTTTTTATCACTGTTTTTCAGTATTTACAAGCAACACTTTTGGAGGTCCTATCAGTACAGGGAATATTAGTTAAGATGTGACACTATTAGGATTTGCCATCATACAAATCCTGCCAGCCCTTCATTTACCCACCAGTTTCTTCTCGTTTTTCATGCTTAGTTTGCTAATATAGGAGTCACGTGCACCTGTTGTCTTTATTCTCCCGGTGTAATCAGGAAAACGAGCCAGAAGAGCTGAAATGATTAGCTTGGGATCATTAGAAGAGGAAAGAATTTATATTCACAGTGACTGTATTTCTAGTCCATTGATTAGGCAATTTTCCTTTTATGAATCAATTGTGGTGATTGCTATGCCAAATAAGATGTGGAATTGTTATCACAAAGACAACATAAATTATTAGTTTTAAAATACATACTGTCTATGCATGGAGTTGAATATCCTATGGAATATTTCTTATCTTCTCTCCCTGATTTCTACTAGGTTTTCTCAAGGGGCACTCTTATAGATACTTTTTAGGCCCTGAGCTAACATCTGTTGCCAGTCTTCCTCTTTTTGCTTGAGGAAGATTGTCTTAAGCTAACATCCATGCCAGTCTTCCTCTATTTTGTATGTGGGGCACTGCCACAGCATGGCTTCATAAGCAGTGTGCAGGTCTGCGGGTTGCGAACCCTGGGCCACCGAAGTGGAGTGCACGAACTTAACTACACACCACCAGGCTGGCCCCCCCTTGCAGGTTCTTTAGCTCTGTTGTGGCATGTAGCAGTGTGATCAAACAACACGCAGTGTCTGATGTGTGACATTATTAACTTCCATTCGGAGCCCCATTGTAGATGTGGGGTGGTGGTCAAAGTCAACACAGAGTGCTTTAGGGGAAGTATCAATGACTGCGCATACCTTGACTCTGCAGCTCCAATCCAGAAAGCAAGGTGATTTTTAGAAATATGTGTAATCACCTTTGGAGATTCTAATAACAAATGCACCAACAATTTCATCTCTTATTAATAGGTTAAATTTTTTCTTAGAGTATGCAGAGGTCATTTCATACATTGCAATTTCACACTGATTCATCTCGCTGGATTGCCTCTTGCTGTAGCAAATACGGTAATGTCCAACAATTGTAATTAATAATCATGGAACTTTATTGCATAAGAGGATATTTTCAAAACCAAATAATCACTCTTAAGAGGATGCTGGAAGATTGAATAGGGCAGAATAGAGGTGGAAGAAAGATGAGAAAACAGAGAAAAACAAAGCAATGGCTAAAGTGCTGAGGGGACTAAATATTGAAAGGCGGGTGTTTAGGCGTTAAGAACAAAGGAGGAGGCATTTGGCTTAAATACTGTGAGATTTTATGGATTCTAGATACCAGAAGTTTCATGAATTAATTCATCTGACAAACGTTTATTGTATGCATCCTATACATTAAGGCACTGAGGATTGTAGATTGTTAGAATTTTTTAAAGGTCTAGCAGTCTTGTAGCCTACAGAAAAAGGACTGGACCACAAGAGAGAGAGACTTGATGACCACGAAGGAAGAGGAGAAAGAAAACGCAGAAAGGAGAGGAATAAACAGCAGTAGCCAATGGAAACAAAATTCCCATTACAAACTCTAATTTTTCCCAAATGAAATATGTCTAATATTTCTTAACTAACACGTTCCTAATTTTCCTTAGCAAAGACCAGTCAATCATAACCATAAGCATATTACACAATTTCTGTAAGTTCTTCCCTCCAACACGTTCTATGATGAGGTAAATAAGATTTAGAGCTTGTTCTCAAAGAACTCAGAATCTATTTGGAAATTTCAAGCTAGCGCACAGTAGATTACGGATCAGATCTAAGAGCATTTAAGCAGCTGCAGAGCAGCCTGATCTGCACTTTGGGTGCTTAGTTCAAAGAAAGGAGTGGGCCAAGCAAGAGAGGAAGGAAAAAGGGAGGTTTCATGGAGAAAGTGGACTCGAGTGAGGCCTATGAGGAGGCACACCAGAGGGGAGACAAGGGGACGACTTCGGGGGGAGCAGAAATTAGTGTCGTCTATTTTGGAACCAAGAAGAAGAATTTGTGACTCCGTACCTGAAGGATAATTACTGGGTGGTAATGGGAAATGAAGTTTGACTAAATAGGGTAAGATGGGACTTCCACGGGCCCAGAAACTCATGCACAGGGAGGCGCCTGGAGTCCAGGAGGGGTCTGTGATGACAGCGGCGTGTGAGGAAGCCAGCCCTGGCAGAGGCATTGATAACAAATGGAACAGGGGGTGCGATGAGTTAAGGCTGCTGACAGCCCATTAGATTACATACTCCCGTTTCAAGGAACTGGACCAGGATGGCTGCAGAGAAGGAGCTAGCAGACGAGACGTTTCAAAGAAGGAGTTGATAAGGCTTGGAGACTGATCTGATTTAGGGCATGGATGGGAAGGGGACATGGAAGAAGACTCCAAGACTGCCAATATGGTTCATTTATGCAAACGAGAGCAGGATGTATCCGGTCAGAAGATGATAAATGCCTAGATAAGTGAAGAAAAATGACTAGCTGCTGAGCTGGGACACGCCTCAGGGGGAAAAGAAGAACTTTTGCCCTCCTCTGCAACCCCCAGGGTTAGGCAAGGATGGCAGTAGGTGATGCAAAATCACGTCAGACAGGAAATGGGCCAGGCTGCCCAGGTGCCAGGTAGGGCTGAGCAGACTGGGGCCAAGGTGTTCTGGGTGCTCAGGAGACATACTCGGTTGTTCACCCCAAGGACGTTTGGAATTTGTGCTGCACAAGTACCGCTGTTCATTCGTTCCTTCACTGACTCCCATTCGGTATGTGCGACTCGGTGACGTGTACTAGGCACTGCGCCAGGTGCCACGGCAAAAAGGAGCAAGACATTGTCCAGGCCTTCAGGAAGCTCTCAGTCTACCAGAGAAGGCATAAACAGATTTTCAGAACTGAAACGGGAGCAAGAAATCAGAGGGAAGCATCTGAAATAGCCAGTTAGGGGATTTGCTCAAGGATGCTGTGGTGAATTGGGCTGGAAGAGGGTAGAGATTCCAGAGCTCTTTCTCTTCCTTCAGGAATTCTTGGCAGGAGCAGAGGGCGGCGTGATTTAGGGTTAGAAGTTTGTGTCTCAAAGTTCAACATCTAAGAGTCGAGGTCTGGAGTCATAGTGGCTTGAGGAAGTTGGCCAGAGTGGCCCCCGGGAGGCCAAGATGCAGAGTGCATGCTTTTGAAATCGGAGGACCAAATTAAGCAAATGAAAACAGGCTTGCTTTTTATCTTTACCAATTAGGGTACTTTTAGGTACTGTTTCGTGGGTGTGCACAAATGTCATGAAATGCAGATTTTCTTTTCATCAATTTATGGCCGAGATAGAGAGTAAGCTCAGATCTCACCTCCAAGGCCACGAGCTCCAGGCCCAGGCAGCATTCTTGGTGTACCGTGCACGGAATAGAGGCCAGCTCTTGCAGCAATTCTGCTTCCCGCCGACAGCAGGCTGGTGCATGTGTGGAGAAGGCGAGGAAGGCCCGGCACATGGAAACCTTTTCCTTGTGGTGGAAACTTGAATTGAATAGGCTGTTCAGATGTTCCCGGGAACTTACAGCATGGAAAGAAGCCAGGAGCCAGCAGCCCTCTCCTCCAGGGCCACTTTTGAGGTCTGTATGAGACTGTGACCTTTCATCCCTGAGGCTTCTTTGATTTTACTCCCCAGAGATATTCCTGTGTCCTAGATGCCTTGCGCTAGGCTTAGGGTGAGAGGTGTAGGAAAGGAAGGAAGTTTAACAAAGTCAGTAATAGCCTGGCTTTTGACATCAAAAAGTCTGGCTTCAAATTCAGCCTCCAAGATGTATTATGCAAGTAGCTATGTAATCTTGGACAAGTTATTGTCTAAAGCTCTGTTCCCTTATGTAGACTGGTCCTAAGAATAGCACCAGTCTCTTAGGGAGTTGTGCATATTGAATGAGATACCCCACGTAAAGTGCTCAGTACTGCGTCTGCTACCTAGTACGTGCTTGATGTGAGGTCCTTGGTATCAACTGTGGCTGTACTCATGTTCTGTGTCAGTGTGAGGACCAAACAGTGCTGCCCCAACCCTTCTTTGCTTCTCTTCCTTGGCAACCCCATTCAAATGCCAGCTACTGAAATACTAAACCTCATTAGTAGCTAGAATCATCTCTGGGGCACCTCCACAGCACAGCATGGACCCTAATCTGACCCCCACTGTTTTGTTTTCCTGCTAATTTTCTGGTTAATCCAACAATTCGAACAAGAGCGTTATCCCGGCCCACCCTCCCCCGACCCCACCCCATCCCACCCACCGGAAGATGGACATGCAGGCAGCTGGGGAGGTGGGGTCATGGCAGCCCAGAGGTAAATCCTGCCCAGAAAACCCTGTAGGAGAGCTCACAAAACAAAGAGGCTCTTTGCCAAAGGAGATTTTATTTTGCAGTTTCCAAAAGGTAAGGGAACCCTTCCAACAATTTTTTTTTTTTGCTTACAGGCTCAGAATTTAAACATAGGACACTGAATGGCCAGAACCTTGGCCCACCCCTGAGTGCCCGGGGCATGTTGCCAGCACCAGGAGTTAGAGTTTCTGCCCAGTAGGCTTGTAACCTGAACTTTCTTTTTCTAAAATCCCAGTTCTTAGTAGCCAGCACACATTCTGAGCCACAAAATTCTGAGAATTATTGCACTTGTCAGCTGCTCAGTCACATGCCCTTCAGCTGGGTTCCTTCTACTGGTGTAACAGTACTTCTGTTAGAGCCTATGAATTTCACTGTCACACAAAAATTGGCATCTCTTATAATACCACCCAAGGCTTGCCATAATCACCTAGAAATATACCGTCAGCCTGTCATAATTAATCAATTTTCAGCATCCCTCAGGCTCTCCAAATACAATGACTGATAGCAAATTAATAGATACTGGGGATCATCCCATTTAACTTCATCAAAGAGCTGACCCCATGATAAAAATTTCGTTTAATTAGGATAATATCTCATATTTAAAGAGAGCCTCAAAGCAGAAAAGTCCACAGATTTTCTCTCTTAATTTTCAAAGCAGCACCATATGGCCCTTAGATCCGACTTGTAGTGAACAGGCATGTTTGTCCCCATTTCACAGATGAGAAGAGCTTGCTGTGAACTGACAAGTAAAGGGATCACGGCAGGGTCAGGGGCTGGGGATATGAACCCAGAGCTGGGCATTCCTACTTCAATATGGACTTTATTTGCTTAACTTATGTCTATGAACCATCGGCAGCACAAAAATATACACGGGGATTTTTTTGAACACATATTTAATGAATCGGGTATCCTGTGCACATGGCAAGACTGTAAATAGATGTCAGTAGTGGAATGTTCGAGTGGACAAATATAGAACGTAACTTGTGCTCAGCAATGCCACTCTCCCCCACCGAGCCCCATGCTGGTATGTTCACTGGTCTGTTTGGAAGCTTTTTTCTCTCTTTTTTTTTTAGGTTCAGTTGCATGATAGTACAAAGAGCCTTGTGTTACGGTCTCAACACTACTATTTATACCCTGTGACCCATTAAGCACTGATTCCTTGGTTGGGGTTCTCCCAACATCTCGAGAAAAAAAAAAAGAGGGGAAAAAATAGCCTGACCGGAAAAAAAAAAAGGGGGGAGTTCTCATTTACAATACTTGAGTCAAGAATTTGGAAACATGACCCCAGCCAAAGGCTTCAGAGGCCTCGTATCAAATGTTGTTATTTTTGGGTGGCTTGAAAATAAGGCTGGTTGAGGAGTGGACAAGGTGCCCGAGTGGCTGTGGCAGGAAGCAGGAGGTGGGGAGGGGGGGCGCTCTGTCAGGAGAGGGTCCTAGGGACAGCCCGGGCGGCCAGCTGCTGGGCTGGCCTCAGGCCTCACAAGAAGAACTGGCCACTTGGCTGGAGAAGAACTTCACCTTCCCTGGGTCAGCCGCCCTCCCCTTCAGAGGGATGTGAGATATCAACATTTCCAAAAGGCAACTTGGCGCTCTTTTCCTTGCAAATACCCTGGAAATGAACCTTCGTCAAGTTTAAACCCCCTCTTCCTCCAGGGGACTTATTTTTATTTAAATAGGCAGTATTTCCCATGAAAGGGAACTGCCTCCCCGTTTTGGGAAAGAAGCCTGCTGGAGATATTTTCAAGCTCTGTCCACAGTGGGTGAAAGGGAATCCTGGCTTAAGATATCAACCGTAATGCACTCCTCCAGCCCCACAGAAGTGTGTCACCGTCAGAACCGAGCAGCTGCCCATGTTTGGAAACAACTCACTCACCCTGCCCCACCGGGTCTCCCCTCCAACTCGGTCTGTCCCAGGGCACGCACAGCACATGCATGCAAACATATGCGCACATGCACACTTTCGCACACACATGCGAGCACACACACACCTGGCTCAGAGGCCAGATGGTTATCTGCTGTGTCACGGGCCTTTAGTACATATTTGACAATTATTCTGGGGAAGCTTGAGGGAGATGTGTGTGACAGTTCTCTGTGAAAATAACTAAGAAACATATTAAATAAACTTTCCTGAGCATAGGCTGGAGCGAGAGGCAGGAAGCCCAAACTCTATTCTTGCATTATTCACGTGCCCTCAGAGTTACCCTAGATGAAAAGATCTCTAAAATATTTAGACTCAATTCCTCTTGGTAAGAAAATCAATGTTTAACTGCCTAGGAAGCCTGTAAAATATAAGACTGTCTATTCTCGGCACAAGTGTCAGGTTTTTGTGCCTCCAACACAGCTTCTAATCCATCTGGCCACACGGGCCTCTGTACGCCCACCTGCTCGTCCCATAGAAATTCTATTTGTCTTTTAGTCTGCTTCAAATGTCACGTTCTTCATTCGGCTTTCCATGGGCCCCTCTATAAAGAGGGCACTGTCTCGTCTCTGAACGTTCAGTGTTTGAGCCAGACTGGTTGGGTGAGGAGTCGTCAACCCACCAACAAGATGGTTGGTGAAAGCGTGCAGGTAGAGGGAACAATCGTTATGAGCCAGAGATGGTGTTACACATCCTAGAAAGGGGAAAAAAGTGTTAGATGGGGAGAGAGGAAATGAAAGAAAGTGGTGAAAGATGGCTTGGAAAAGTAACAAACCTAAATTCTGGATGTTCTTGTAAGCCAAATTAAGGGTTTACTTTAATTTAAAGACAATGGTAAGCTGCAATTTTAAGTAGAAAGGTGAGTCTAAGTTGCTTGTGTCCAAAGTAATATAGTTAATGTTGTGACCCATAAGTGCGTAAATGAATATTTGCTGTCAGATAAGTATTGTGGAATGCTCCGACAACTCCCGCTACAGCGTTAGCTCCTGTTATATTTTTCCAATTGAAAGTTGTTGCCTGAATGTTTGTATCCCCGCAAATTCTTATGTTGAAGCTCTAACCCCCGACGTGATGGTATTTGGAGGTGGGGCCTTTGGAGCTGATTAGGTTTAGATGAGGTCATGAGGGTGAGGCCCCAGGGACGGGACTGGTGTCCCAGTGAGAAGAGGAAGAGAGACCAGAGCTTGCTCACTCTCTCCCTCTTTCGCTCTTTCCCAGACCGCCATGTGAGGACCCAGTGAGAAGGCAGCGCTCTGCAAGCCAGGAATTAAGCTCGCACTGGGAAAACGAATCTGCTGTCGCCTTGATCTTTCACTTTGCAGCCTCCAGAACTGTGAGAAATAACGTCTGTTGTTTAAGCTACCCTGTGGTATTTTGTTACAGCAGCCTGAACAGACTAATACATAAGCCATCCAAAATGTGTTAATATAAATAAAAGTGATTTTTCTGTCAAAATGTAATTCCTCATCAAAATAAGCCTAGTATGAGTGGATACAGACCTGAAGACTCGTGTGTTGCTCATTCTCTTGAAGGGGACCATTCTTATCTCTCTTTCATAGATTGCTTAGGCTCTTTTTTTTTTTTGGATTTTATTTTATTTTTTCCTTTTTCTCCCCAAAGCCCCCCAGTACATGGTTGTGTGTTTTTAGTTCTGGGTCCTTCTAGTTGTGGCATGTGGGACATCACCTCAGCATGGCTTGATGAGCGGTGCCATGTCCGCACCCAGGATCCGAACCAGCGAAACCCTGGGCTGCCGAAGCCGAGCATGTGAACTTAACCACTCAGCCACGGGGCCGGCCCCTGCTTAGGCTCTTTGTGTCAGCCTCCAGAACTTTCAGTAGAGGCCGGAATCTACAGTCTCTGGTGCAGAATCGTCAAATATTTTTCAATACACCCTAGAAAAGATGTTATGGGCTTAAGATGAATTAATGTGAATTTAATCCACAACAATTTTCAGAAAGTAATATGCTCTTCTGCCTTCCTAATGTGAAGTATGGGTTTGGACTTACCATCGTGTGGGCTCACCAGTGTGGTATAGGTTGACTGAAGGCCGTATGCCTCCAGCAAGCAACACGGTTTGTCTTTATGGTGGTGCTAAGTGTCCTGCAATTATCTATCAACACAATTTTCAGGGGATTTTGTCTCTCTGCCCTGGATATTTTCTCTCGCATTCCAGATTGTTCAGTTTTCTTAGGAATTTTGTCTGGGACTTGACTCTTTTGACTGATTCTCGATGGTCTGTGTCTAGTTTGGAGAGTACAACTCCTAGATACAAGAGAGTCACAGTTCATGAATTGTTTCTTCATAGACTATAAGAAAAAGAAACTCCCTGTTTTTATTCCCATCTAGAATAAGGGTACTTGAACTCTTTCTGCACATGCCAAAAAAATCATGAAGAATGTTGTAACATATAAAATATGATGTGGGTATATCCAGTTTCCTATGGAAGGAAGACTTCTACATCTTCATCTGTGCCTCTCCCACCTAGTAATTTCTAATGCCAAGAGTTGGTTTACACTCAGTGTAACAGAAAGTCAGAGGACTGAAATGAAGAAAAGATCATAGGTACTCTGTCTAACACCTCATAATGAGGAGATGTGCTCAGGGCTGTGTCTGGAGATTCTGGAAACTCAGGCAGGACCACACACCTAAGCCTCTGATTCCTAATTTGGACACTCCTGCCACTTCTTGATACCAATAAGGTCCGAAGCCACCCCCAAGGAATGCATAGCCTTGGTCAAAACTCCAAAATCCTTTTTTCTCCTGAAGCATCCTTTCTGAAACATCATATTGTCTTAAACTTAATTTATTTAGGTAGAGGGAAGGCCCACTCCAGCAAATAATAAAACTTCCCTCTCTAAAAAACCGAAAAAACAACTCTGCAATCCATAAGAACCCTTCTTTCAGTGGCATTGGAGGGGAGAGGTGGAGGTCACTGGATCTCCTGCCCCTCGTGCCCCTGGCACGTTCTAGTGTCCTTGAAGGCTGTGCCAACCATCTGCAGGTGGAGGAGACAAAGCAGAGGAAGCGATTTGGTTTTCTGAGCCTGAGGGGAAGGTATATCCTGCTCAGAGGCAGCCTCCAGGATGACATCCCTGGAAAATGTGTTTGCTAAGCCCAGGACATCACCCTCTGTCATGTGGACGTGCTCAGCCCACACTACTGACCTCCTGACCACTCCTCCTCAGAAGCTCATATCCACTTCCTCTTCTTTCTACTCCTCGTCCCTGTCTGTCCCCTCCACAAAGCCTCCCAGAAGGGACTTTCCACTCCCACAGGCAATCACTGTCCTCGTGACTGTGACAGTCACATATACTTCCAGAAGGTATTTGTAAAATAAGCTAAAACAGTTCATGAATGCTAAGTAATAATGCCAACCCTCTGTCTTATTATAAGCACACTCATAAGAAATTAGGCTTGCCCTTGTAGAGTCTTACAGGCCAGTGCTCCTCAACCTTCAGCTAGCTGACAAATCACCTGGGGAACCTGGATTTTAATTCAGATTCTGAGTCAGTAGGTCTAAGGTGGGGCCTGAGAGTCTGCATTTCCCACAAGCTTCCCGGCTATCCGAGGACCACCTTTTCAGGGGGAAGGTATAGATCTCAAGCTCCATGAGGGCCATGGCATATCTAATTCGACTTCATGTCCTCATGAAGAGGACATGCCACGGGAGCTGGCACACGGTGGGTTTTCAGCCGGAAGGAAGGGAGGAAGGGAGATGAGAAGAGAGAGAGGAGATTGTGAGTTTTCCATTGGGTAAGTCTTTCCTGTTCTTGACACTTACATTGAGTAACTCTTCCGTGTTCTTGATATTAAAAACCAAGACAAGCACAGATGAAGCGGATGTGTAACAGAGGCTAGTGGTGAGTTTTTTAAGCAGAGTTTCACCCCAGCTTCTCCTCATAGTTTCTTCCTAGCTATTGACAGATGTTCTCAAGGTATGCTTCTAATTTGGCACATCTCTGTCAGAATGCCACAGTTCTCTTAAAGGCTTGGGAGCTATGATGTGCCCAGAGGCACAGGTCACTGAAGAAAGGAGCTGTTCTGATCATAAGCTGCTTTCTTCTCAGTCTCACTGACCAAGTGGTGTGGCTCCGTCTCCCTGGGGAGCATTTGATGGACAGTATTTCCTTTACTGCAAACTTTTCTGTTGGCAGAGTTTGTACTAAAGCCTGAAGACTGTCAGTTGTTTTCAGCTCTGCTCCTCCCAACTTATAAGACAAATCTTAAAGTGTATGATTTCTAACATGCATCTTGCCAACAGCAAGCAGACTCTTGGAGAGCCTCCTCCCCAGGGTACCTTTCATCTTAGAGAATGCGCAGAAGGGCTTGTCAAAGAATGCTGGGGGAGATAGGCATGCCATGCGAATGATTCGGTGGTATGCCTGTTCACATATCATACAAAATTATGCCAAAATTTATCATCGTTTTCAGAAAAAATGCATTCTAAGTAAATGTTTTTTTCAGTATGAAACTAACCTAATCCCATTTTAAAAACAGAAAAAAATTCAATAAAAAGGGAAAATATCACTTGAATACATTGATACTCACTGTTAAACACAGCTATTATTAGCATTTATTGTATTTTCTGTCTTTTTTCTGTGAGTGTGCCTGTTTTCATGTACATACTAATTTCTACATAATTCTGACTGTGATATGTGTCATTTCATGTGGGACTTCTTTCACTTAACATCATATCTGTCAGAAGTATTTTTCATGTTATTAGAGCCTTCATCACCTTCATTTTCACTTCCTCCATAATATTCCATTGAATAGTTATGCTAACGTTTATTAACTCAGTTATTAACTCAGTTAAATACATAAGGCATTTAAGTTGTTTACAAGGTTTCACAAATATAATTGTGCTAAAAATGTAATTTAGCAAGTATCTATTTGCACATGGCATACAGTATGTTTAGATTGTCTACTGAGCTTGAAATTCATAACTGATATATTGATCCAGATATTTTTAAAGAGGTATATAACAGGTGACACAGTTAAAGCATTCAACAAAGGGTCTGTAGGAAGCGAACAGGGAGCACACATGGCCTGTGATCCTCTGCTGTGGAGAGAGGACAGGGGGAAGCAGCAGGGGATGCTTGCAGAGGGATTTGGAGTCCCAGAGGTCAGGATGGAGGACCACTCACCGGGTCATCGCACTATGACCATGGTGAGTGACTTCCTTTCTTGCATCCCAGCCTCCTCATCCAAACGTGGAATGGTGCCTACCTCAGAGGATTGCAGTGAGGGCTAATGAAATACACAAAGCACTTAGGAGGGTGCCTGTCCCTGTGTGACACTCAATAAAAGTTAGAAAACACTGTGGTGTCACCAACCAGAGAGGTGAGGGAGTTGGCCACTCCTATCATTCGCCTGGCCTGGGGCTCATATGCTGAACGTGTAGTTATTTAAAAGTTATAAGTCATGGGGCTGGCCTCGTGGCTTAGTGGTTAAGTTTGGTGTGCTCCACTTTGGTGGCCCAGGTTCTTGGGTTCTGATCCTGGGCGCAGACCTACACTACTCGTCAGCCATGCTGTGGTGGAGACCCACGTATAGAGTGAAGGAAGATGGGCACAGATGTTAGTTCAGGGCTAAAAAGTGATAAGTCAACCTAACAGTCTTAAAAAAACTTGTTCTAGCCTTCCAGTTTGATAGACTTCACAACACAAAATAGAACAATATCTATAGAGCTATGGTTTTTCTATGACTACAGATTAGCAAAACATCAAAGAGAGAGGAATCTGATCATTTGTAAGCCCGTCTGGGATGTTGTTTGGCTAGCAATGTTTGGATAAGTGATGAGAATAAACACATAGAAATTCATAAATTATTATATATTTAATAAAATCATTTTCTTGCCTTCATTTCAGCAAAATCATTAATTATATCCTTATAATCAAGATTTTCACATAATCTGTGTTTTATTGCTAACAAAATCTAACAGATTAAAAATAAGTGTAATTATATTAAAATGTGCAAATTTGAATATATTTTCATCAGTATGTAAATTAATGTTAATGTAAGAAGGTAAAAATTTACTGATTTTAGATGTTTTCAAAAAAGTTATTTTTCCTTCTAAAATATTCAAAATTATCCATTTTAAGCAAAATGCAAAATACAAATTACTTAGTAAATATCAAAAGTTAAAATAAATTTATTTAAATAAATCTGAAGGTTTTTACATTTTCTAAAGACAATTACATCTTATTGCATATTTTTCTAAAAATAAAACTATTGCAAGTTTTACAAAGTCCATTTAGTTGCTAATGTCAAGAACTGGTTTTTTACATCAGATATGTTATATCTAGAACTATGTTTATACACGAAAGTAAGAGAAATATGAGTTATGTAATATTGCAAAATGCTAGCCAAAATGTATGCGCAACTGTTGCACATACTGCGTAATTTTTTAGTACCCCCAGAACCCTGAATTGGAATATGAAGAGAAACAAGAAAATGT